ACAAGTTAAATTTAGTATTCACTATTTTCCATTGTAGACAATTAGATAATCTACATGTCGAATATGGTTGGAATAGTTTTTATCAAGATTAGATTTTAGGTTAGAGTGGGCTTTTACTCGTCATCGATTAATTTCAATTGGAATATTATGCAATGGACAGTCGGTTTTTTTTTCGCTGTTATTGTTTGTATGAAACTCTTCAATTAATACATAACTTTGAACATTTAAATTGTTCAACAAATTATTCTTCATTAAAACTACCTAATTTGTATCGAAAATACAATACAATTTCATTTCAACTTTTAATCAATGACTAATGTAAACATAATTATCAGTCAATTGAAATGATGATACATTTTAGTTATTTACTTATTATATTTGAACTTATCAGAACACTGCAACTATTTTGTATTGATGAGTATAAGAGTTCACTTGAATATAGACTGAATAAACTATTTTTGTTACATAATCTATAAATGGATACTTTCAATAAATATTCAGTGAAGTCAGTTTTCAGTGTATTGGTATAATTCATATCATAGAACTGTATTATCAGCTTGTTAATAACACTAGTTTGGAGATTGAAAAAAGATATATACAATAGTTTGACAGTTGATATTTGAAATAGTAAAAATCTTGAATCAATCATTGTTAACGCGTCATTATAAAACCTGGAAAAACTGACAGGCGACCTTTTCGTACTGATATGAGACTCATCAGCAGTGAGCACGCACAATTCCTGTTACTCGCAGGATTCGAACTCAGAACCTTCGGTCTTGTTTGCGAACGCCTGACCTTTGGACCACTCATTTTTGTCGGCGGTAACTAACTGCCTACACTCGACAGGCTTGAATTCCACTGGTCACGTATTGTCACCAGAACTCCAAGAATTTTTGTTTTGAGAATCTAGACCATAGTGAGCATGTTGATTGATTCGGAATTTCAGTAATTTTACAGATACTAACTTATTGACTTACCTTCGCCTGTTAGCCCAATGGAGCACAGGCTGCCCACCAGTTTTCTCCAACCTACTCTGTACTGGGCTTTCCTTTCCAGTGCTTCCCAGTTTTCGTTCATTCTTCTCATATCTTTCTCTATTTCTCGGCGTAATGTGTTCCTTGGCCTTCCTCTTTTCCTTTTGCCTTGAGGGTTCCATGTGAGGGCTTGTCTCGTGACGCAGTTAGGTGCTTGTCATAGTTTGTGTCCTATCCACTTCCACCGCTTCTTCCTGATTTGCTCCTCCACTTGAATCTGGTTTGTTCTCTCCCAAAGTAAGTTGTTTCTGATCATGTCTGGCCAACGAATCCGAAGTATTTTGCTTAGACATCTGTTCATAAATACTTGTTACAGTAGAACTGTCTTTACATTTGTATTGAAAATTCTGACCATCAGGTTACATCTTTTCATTTCTGCAACAACTTGAAATAGTCTTCCAGTCTCCCACAGTGTTAGAAAATTCCATATACCTAAAAGAACGTTCGCTCTGATTGTCAGAAGAGGCATCAGCCTCGTGACTTCCAAGGGGACTCGGCTTTCATTACGAGACGTCATAATTCTTTTTCCAACTCTCAGGCCAGAGTTAAAATGGTTTGATTTATTTTTTCTGGTTAGCGTTTTTTTGGCAAGTTAGTTTTTTGGTGGGATGCGGTCGCTAACCGCATGTCCAACCCTCCTCCTTTATCTGGGCTTGAGACCGGCAGTAGCCTCGAAAGTTCCACAGACGGAGTTAATCTTACAATCTTACAATTGAATGTAGCTGTATATATTGAGGTGAAAATGATTAGTCAAAGTTGATTACTTGACAGAAATTTTGGAAGCACTTTTTTAAAATATGGAAATTGTCAAAAGGTTGGTGTAAATCAATAATTATTTCGTGATGAGATCTATCTTTCTTGTTACACGATCAATCAAAGGATTGATGACATTTTGCGATTTACCAGAATGTTTGACGTACAAGACTATGTTGTTTGGAATATCTATAGATAGTCAAACTAATTTGAGGTAAATTTTAAGCGAGGAAATCAGTTATTTTTAACATTTCTAGAACAACAAGGTTAAATAAAAGTGAACAGAAATGATAGACCCTGATGAATACCAAACAGATCTAGACTATTCAGAAGACTATTCTCTGTTGGCTCCGATAAACAGGATATCAGTCATTACACGCTAAATAATCACTCTGTAAGAAATCATTCACAGCCGATTGATGACATATCAGATATTTTGGGGCAGAGTTTTGGAGGTTTGTGTTTTTACACATTTGAAATCATCAATCAATCATTGTTAGACCACCATTAGAAACCTGGAAGCACTTGACGGCCGTTCCATCGTGCTCCTTGCAGGAGTCGTGGATGTGCACTACTGATGAGTCCCATACCAGGATGAAACGGCTGTCCAGTGTTTCCAGGTTTGTAATGGTGGTCTAACAATGATTGATTGATGATTTCAAACATATCAGATAGTCAAGTTTGATGGGATCATTTTGAATCCTACACAGAGTATTCGTATCGGCTTATGATTCTAGATACATCTTATTGACGAGTGCCAGCTAACGTAAATTCAAGTTACAAACTAAATCATAGTTTCCTGTAGATTATTTGCAACAATCACTGTGTAGCTGTTTCGTAATAGAGTATGGGATTATTCAGCAACGCGCACTAACGACCCCAATATGTAGGAATCGAACCCAGGACACTAGGCCCCCCGCAAATGCTTAAACTTTAGACCACTAAGCCGACATTCAACAATTTTAATGTTTGACTTCAATCAATCCAGTAATTGTAAGCTTCAAACGTTGGTCTAACAAGGATCGACTCGTCATTTCAAAATGAAAGGCTTAACTTTTTAATGAATGATAGAGAGAGATTAAATTTCTACGTAAATACTTTTTGAGAAATGACCGAATAAAGTCTAACTAACTTCATTTTAATTCAACACTATTAATTGATTTAAGTAATATATACTTAGTTAAAATGTATTTCTTCTTATCATTAAATCAATGACCCGGTATTGATTCGATCAATTTTCTATTATCATTTCAAATTGACTAGAATTTTATACAATGAATTATATATTGATCAATAAAATCATGATTTGATCAGTGTTAGACTACCATTGAAATTCAGCAGGCACTGGACAACTATTTCATCTCAATATGGTACATTTCAAAAGTGAAACTCAGCAATCTCCAGTGAGCTATATGTTGGTGTTAGGAAATGGGTACTAGAGAAGGATGGTAGATCATTTGGTGAAATACTGAGTCTTCGTCAGTTGAGCTGGTTGGAACGTATGTTATATATGCCAAACCACCGACTGCCTTAACGTTCGATGTTGTCAGATGTAGGGGTAGGCTGTATCAAAAGTAGGGGCGATTAAATCAAAACATAGCACAAACCAGTGAAGTCATTGGCAGCTAGACTGAATGATATCGGTAGGTGTAGACTACCTGGTTTCAGTCCATGAGACATGGCTCAAAATCTGTCGCGATGGTGCTCGTGCATCCATTCTTTAGTCTTCCGAGTTCCTCAACACCTTTTCTCTCTTTTTATTTTACTGAATTATAATTCCCGAATAATATCTTTGAACCCTAATTTTCTGTATCAGCTCTAATAATTCTACTACTATGGAACTGAATTTGGCAATTCGATTTCTCTGTGCGCTAATGTGTCATGGCAAACTGAACTAATGTACTACATACGTACGAAGTTCTACGTTGCGGTTGACAACACTGTTTTCCACAATCCTATCATGATAATTATACTTTACCTAGATATTAGTTACTTTTCAACATCAAAAACTTCACTTGTGGTATTCCAGACAGACAGACAGATACAACGCAGAACCTCGTACATAAGTACATCAGTTCACGTTGCCATACCTCATTAGCACAGAGACGTAACTGTCAGTTCAAATCCAAGAGTGATAACAACAGTAGAATTATTAGCAGTAATGGAGAAGATTAGGGAGCGAAGATATGATTCGAAAATTATAATTCAGTGAGATAAATTTAGCACGAAAAGATAGAGATTATGAGGAATTCAGAAGACTAGAATTAAAAAGCACACAAAGAGTGGATGCATCTGCGTCATTGCAAACGATTCTGAGCCATGTCATTCAAGGTCTCTAGCCATCGATTATTATCATCTCGCGGACCCCAACCAGGTAGCCTACATCTACCAACATGACTCAGTCCACTTGTCAGTGACTTCATGGATTTGTGCCATGTTTTGGTTTGGCCACCCCTAAATTTCTCCCAACGTACTCCTACACCACAAAACATAGCTCTGTAATATTCCTGTAGTACAGTATGATAGGATGGAAAATTAAAAATGCAGAAAGTGATTTTTGCTCATGATTCATATTTTTCCACTGTGATTTTACTTCATATCATACTTTTCTGTCATGTGGTGGTGATATTAACCAATGGAATTCAATAATCTGATAAGTTATAAGTTAGAAACGTATCCATTTGAAAATGACAGGTTCTCTGTATCTCCTAGAGATCACGGATTGTAGGGATATTGTCCGATGAGACGTTTTATACTGGAAAATGAAATACCTTTTCAATGATTCTTGTTATATTTAGATAGTTAGTTAGTTTATAATGGTAACTGGTAGTAGGAGACTTTGTACGATGTGGCTCAAAATCGTTTGCCATAACACACCTGTCTCCATTCTTTGTCTTCTCTCAAATTCTAACCTTCCTAATTCCTCATTACCTCTATCTTTCTCTTTCTAAGGTTATCTCACTGAACTATTCTTTTTGAATAAGATCTTCAGACTGTAATACTTCTACGTTCTCTACCACCACGGGATTTGAAGTGACAATTGCGTCTCTATGCTAATGTGGTATGGCAGTCTGAACTTATCTACGTATGCACGTAGGTACGAACTTTTACATTGTAAATGACTAACCATATATAACTCAGCAAATTTTCTCTTATATACAGTTCGAGTAATGAATATTTTCCTGTATTTTTATTTTCCCCTTTATATTCTAGACACTGGTTATGGTGCATTATTTATATCTGATGTCACTGGTTCCATATTCAGTGAATCACTGCGTCATCATTTATATCCAAATCATGCACCAGTTACCGATTTCTATCGTGTAGCCTCTATGCGTGGTACATATTTAGCGACACGTTTAAATCCTGATCGTACATTGTATACAGTGATAACACATGATCGTGGTGCTAGTTGGCATCCTTTAGGTGTACCGCTGAATGTTCAAGATACAACTTGTCAGGGAAAAACACCAACATCAACACCGACGACGACATTGTCACCACCACCTACGCCAACAACTACACAAGCAACAGCAGAGACAAGTACAAGTACAACTGCTACAAGTAATGCAACTTCATCGTCGACCAGCAGAGATCAATCTAATCATGACAATGCAATACACAATATCATTAGTGATGATATTATTGATGTAATCGATAAATTGCATAATTCCTTGAATTCCATGACAACCAGTAATCCATCCAATCATCATCCATCAATACAAACGGACAATGATAATCCAACTCCTAGTGAAATATGGAAACCGGATCCAAGCATGAATGATTTGCTGTCAACAGATCCATTATCAGTAAAAGTAAGATTATGATTGGTTGTTTTAATTTATCCTACTGATCTATTGGCTCTGTGGGCATCTTGAAGGAATGACTGTCATATTACTATTCAGTCATGAGTTATAAATTGAAATATTATTTTATTGTATAAGCTAGTAACTATTTGAACTTAATAACTATCTAACTAGTAGACTTCAGCACTATACTTTATTTTTGCTGATTAAAATGAACTGATCACGTTGTAGTAGACTCGTTAGTTTAAGTGACTTTACATTTGGTGTACAATGTTTTTCAGTTTTAACTGATGGCATTGTAACACGTGTAATCAGCAGTCACTGAAGGGCGGAGAGGATCTAAAAATCACAACACACAAGGTTAGTTTAACGCCTCACAGCAAGAGAGAACACGAATTGGTTGTCATGGCACTCTTTTTTTATTTGAAAATTAAATACGCGGGGTTTTTACAGGAATAAGGTGGGTAGTGTACCAATGTCTTATGAGTTATCCTGTAAGTTTAGAGCACTCAGAGCTTGTTTTTCAGCTTCCAAAGAGTTTGTGTTTGATCGCCTTGAAATAGAAAAAGAAAACAGAACGAGTTAGCAACATCATACATAGTGATTTTGACTCCGTTACACCACCCCCCTCTCCTAATGAGGCACTGTCTTCACTGCCCGGTCTCAGAGAGTATGACTATTCCAATAATAGCATTTCAAACTATGTAGCTGAGCGAATTATGTTTGAATTGTGTTGGGAGTATTCTAATCAATCCACGCATGGCTGCAGCAGCTTTGATGGCTCTCCCAGTCTCTCAGACTGTGAGAATATTCCATGTACTTAAATTATTGATTAGCCTGCAATTTCGAAAGACTTCCGAAAGAATTCAGCTTTAATCATGAGATGTCAGAGCTTTTCTAAATGCAGACCTTCCAGCACCAAAGGCAGAATTTGAATGGATTGACATACAGTTTCTGATTAGCCTTTTTTCTTGGAGAGTTAGGTTTCTACGGAATCAAATTGCTAACCCCTTGCTCAACACTTATTCTTTGTCTGGACTTGCTGTCGGCATTAGCTCCAGAGAGGCGTCAGGCGCAGTCAATTCCCTACCATCATCTGACATTTACTCTTTCATTCAAAATCTTCAAAATCATCAACAATATTTTACTCTTCAACCTTTTGTAAATACATTTTCATTCCACTCACCTAATAAACACATTCAGTTAATATGATTATATTATTAAGTTTCATAAACTCATTTGTGTTGTTACTTGTGCAGGACCACCGTATGTATACAGAAAATAAGTAGTTACATGATGTTCCCATTGATCGAGTAGTTTTTTTTAATAGTGGATTAATCATTAAGTCATGACCAAACATTTTGTTCAAATTCATCTCAGTCCTACAAGCGGTCAATCATGTATTGGATTACTTAACGCTGATGTTTGTGGTGGTGCCGCGTTCTCTGAGCTGAATGTTCTTTTGGTTGTGAATCAGTCAGTCAGTTGCAACGTAGAACTTCCTACGTATATACATAAGTTCATGTTGCCATACCACATTAGCACAAAGACGCAAATGTCAAATCAAATCCAATAGTGATAAAGATAGTAGGGGTATTAATGGTAATGAAGAAGACAAGGGTTTGAAGATATTATTCAAGTGTGGATACACCTGCGCCATTACAAACGATTTTGAGCCATGTCGTTCAAGGTCTCTAACCATTGATGACTTTCGTCTCGCGGACCCCAACCAGGTAGTCTACATCTACCAACATGACTCAGTCCACTTGTCAGTGACTTCATGGATTTCTGCCGTGTTTTGGTCTGGCCGCCCCTAACTTTCTTCCAACCTACTCCTACACCACAAAACATAGCTCGTCGAGGCAGTCGGTGGTTAGGCATACGTAACACATGTCCCAACCACCTCAACTGATGAAGTTTCAGCACTTCATCTATTGATCTGCCATCGTTACCTAGTGCTCGTTTCCTAACGACAGCATTGCTTACTCGGTTGTCCCACGATATACGAGCAATGCTTCTTGAACATCTATGATTGAATACTAGTAACCTTCGAACATCTTCTACTCTTAACGGCCATGTTTCGCAACCATATTGAAGAACGGAGCGAACTGCTGCGCAGTACTCCCGTCCTTTGGTAAGCGAACGGATTTCTCGTCTACAAATAGCGTTAACTCCATCTCAAGTTTGCGCTGATGATGTTTAGTTCAGGAAAACAATGAAAGCTTCATAACCAAAACAACATCCAGCTCAGAAAACGAAGCACCTATCACAATCATCCACCTGAGCTACAAATTTTCTCCATCATCTTAACGCGCTGATCTCTCTGACTTTGACGCTTGGTGACACGAAGTGTTATCTTCCATTGAATAACAATTTCCAAAAGATTGTAAGTACACTTTGCTAACAAGTGCCATGTAGCACGAAACATAATTTCCAAATTTTCTCTCAAATCACCACTAACATACATTTTAAAATAGATAACGGATGACTAACTCAATCAAAGTAGTGAGAACTAGATTGTATTAAATTTGTACTTCACCTTTGACTCAGTGGATCGTGAGGTTCTGTGGCAGTGCCTGTCATTGAAAGGTGTACCAAAGAAGTACATTACCATTATACAAGCTCTCTACTCGAACACCACTGGTCGAGTGAGAGCATATGGCGAACTTTCATCTGAATTCTCTACATCAAGTAGTGTCCGTCAGGGCTGTCCACTCTCTACATTCTTGTTTAATTTTATCACAGACATGCTCCTAGATATTACCTTATCCTCGTCTGAATTTTCAGGAGTAGACCTTCTACCAGGTGGCTCGCTTATTGACTTAGAATATGTTGATGACATAGATCTATTCGATGAAGACGCTGACAAAATGCACAGTCTTCTGACTACCCTGAGCAACAATACAAGCATGTTAGGGATGCGGTTTTCCCCCTCGAAATGCAAAATGTTGTTGCGTCGGCACCTGAACTAGTGATAGGGAGTGAAGTAGTCGAGCGTGTAGACAGCTTCAGTTATCTGGGGAGTCTCATCAATGCTAGTGGCCTGGTGACTGACGAAATCTCAGCTCGGATACAGAAGGCTCGATTGTTTTTTTCCAGCCTGCATCACTTATGGCGTAGGCAAGATATCGGTTTGCTGACTAAAGGACGAGTGTAATGTGCAGTAGTTCGCTCGGTCTTACTTTATGGCTATGAAACATGGCCAGTGAGAGTAGAAGGTATTCGTAGGTTACTGGTTTTCGATCGTCGGTGTCTTACAAGCAATGCTCGTATATCGTGGGACACCTGAGTGAGCAATGCTGTTATTAGGAAACGGGTGCTAGGTTGTGATGACAGATCAATAGATGAAGTAATGAAACTTCATCAGTTGAGGTGGTTGGGACATGTGTTGCATATGCCCAACCACCAACTGCCTCGTCGAACTTTTTTTTGTAATGTAGGAATAGGTTGGAATAAAGTTAGGGGCGGCCAAACCGAAACATGGCAGAAATCCATGAAGCCGTTGACAAGTGGACTGAGTCATGTCGGTAATTGTCGACTACCTGGTTGGTGTCCGCGAGATGATAATAATCGATGGTTAGAGACCTTGAATGACATGGCTCAAAACCGTTCGCAATGGCGCCAGTGCATTTATTCTTTGTGTTCTCTCAAATCCTAATCTTCTGGGTTCTTCAACACCTTTAGTTTTGTCTTTCGAAACTTGTTTCTTTTAATCATACTTCTTGAATAATATCTTCTAATCCTAACCTCTCCGATTACTTCTAATACCTTTACTACCTCTTCTACTATTGGATTTGAATTGACAATTACATCTCTGTGCTAATGTAGTATGGCAACATGAACTGATGTATTTAAGTACGAAGTTCTTCGTTGCATCTGACTGACTGACTGACTGTACTTCACCTAGTTCAATTGTTCAATTTTTTTTCATTTGCTATTGTGTTCGAGTCTATTCTGATTTTTTCAAAAAAACCATGATAACTTGAATTTATCAACCTAATATTCAGCAACATGAAATAAATAGTTTGGTAAACACAATGTTTATTATGCTACCGCCATGTGTCATTGGCTTGTCCAACTATGCACATTTATTTATATCTAACTAGGATTTTTTGTTAATTAAATTTTATTCGAATTTAAATAAAACATTTTTTTTAGTATTTACATGTGTACTAGCTGGCATACATCATGGATGACAGTGCTTTCTTTATTCTTGGTTTTAGGTCAGAAAGCGTTAGGTTTTTTTATTATAAAGTTCGCCAACTGTTTATTTTTGTTGCTTTTTTCACATTGAGAAACAACAGTTGTTTATTTTTTAGAATTAATTATAATTTATCGATTAATTATGTATTCGTGTGTGTGCGTGTGAGTGTGTGTTTATGTGTCAGTTACATTTTCAACTCTTGGTCATCATCAAGAATTTACACTGTACCTGGTTTTGTGTACAGGGCTACTACTACTACTCCCCCACCATCTTGATTCAGGTCTCATCTAGTGAAAAAAATGAAAATTTCGATATCACAAAAGGAAATCATTAACTGATATGAGACAAAAGGGTTAGAAGAGTGTTTACAGCCAAATTTGCATCAAGTTGGGCTGCATCTTTTGCTATCCTATACCGCACTATGTGTATACTATATGCTATACTGCTAGTATAGAGCTGAAGGTTTCCTTTGAGACCAGAGGTTGGTTGTGAATATTGTGGACGGCTTAGCATTGCTTTGGCAAGTATTACTAAGAGTCCACATACAAAATTGGTTAGCAGGATGACCGATTTCACTGATTACTGGCGGTTGTTTTGCAACATTCCCTAGAGCCATTGTCATTGGGTTGCTGTATTGCATATCACCATTGTTAATAATAAGGAGTTTGACAGTCCATGTAAGCTGGATGGGTCGAATTGGCCCTCCCACGATCATGAGTAGGAAATAATCACTTTATATGTACTAGTGTATATAAATGGTGTGAATAGTCCACTAGGGTATTAGGAGCCTGAGTGGTTGCACCAC